GCCGCTGCCCCCGGCAGGACCGAGCCCGTGTGTCCGTCAGGCCCAGAGGGACATTTCTTTAAAAGCTGAGCCGGCAAGGAGGGTTACATCTCACAGGTCTTTTAGAAATATTTGTCATTTGTGAGGTTGTGGGATGTTAGGTTAGTTGTTGTTTTCAGGTAAGCCTCGTCTACAAATAAGGACATCCATCCCCAAATTTCTGATTTTTTAAGTTAGCAGAGGTTTATCACTTAACAGAAATCTCTGTCAGATACTCACAGTACATGGCTATCGATGAGATGTATTGAAAGAATGTAGAAATGAAACATTACTTAAGAATTACATTTGTGAATGGATATTTTAATTATCCTTAAAGGCTATGACTGTTAGATTTTCACTGTCTTATAATGTATTTTTTTCACATTATATTCTACCATCCATGGAAGCCCTAACTCTACTTCATTTTATCTGGGCAAAAATTAACCAAATAAAAGGTCAAATTCTGCAGACGTTAATTGATAAATGTTTCTATTAAAACACACTTGAAATTAGGGAGGACTGCTGTTGAATTAAATGGAAACTTAGTTACCAAATGCAGACTGTAAATCTAGATTTTTTTTTTTCCTTCTAACTGAAAAATGAGAGTAATCCAAATTACCCAGTTTCATAGTCTAGTGTTCATCTGACTTCTGAGCATAAATTGTAAGGATTTCAGTCTGGTGAGTCAGTGCAAAATTATTCAGTATGCAGCATTTACTAAACAGTATTTTCTTACAGTTTTGTGTATTTTGAGAAATAAATTTATTGTACATCATCCCAGGAGTAGAAAATAATGTAAATTGATAAAGAAAAGAAACAGGACAACAGTGAAATACCCAGCCATTACCAAGAGTTCAGTACAAGTGAAGACAGACAGGTTTTTACTTCAGTTTTTAAAATTTTACTTTAATGACCATCACGAGGCACTTGTATTCTGTAAACGGATTGGGAAGCTACGTTAAAATGCACCCCCTTTAGAAATAGCCAATTCTTTGCTTTTCAGTATGGTTTGGTCAACAAACAGTTTCAGGTCCAGTGTGGGAATTAAAAAGCAAAAGTAGGAAGAAAAGAGACATTAGCCTAGATGTTAAAGATACATCTGGGGATGGATGGTGCAAGTTCAAGCCCTTGCTCTGTTCAGAGGACAGACTTAAACCCAAGTCTTTCATAATCTGGTTAGTGCTCTTATTTTCAGAGCCAGACTGACTCTTAGGTGATAATTTAATTATTTATATAAAGCAAAAAAGTCCAGATATTGAAAAAGACCCATTAAGAAAAGAGACCTGGCCCCAGGTATTCCATATTCTGCAGCTCACCTAATCACCAAGTGTGGAGTCAGTCTGTAGTGTTTGTCTTGTTCAGGAGATGCTCATCTATGTGCTCTTATGGTATTCTTCAGTAAAATTTGGAAAAAAAAAAAAACCCCAAACCCAAACCCCAGGGCAGTACTAAAACCCAAATAGAAAATAAAATTGGGACACATGGCATGTTGCTTCTTACTCTGGCAGTTTCTTTCTCTACACAGGCTGGAAGAAAACTACATTGTCTGTGAAGGAGTTTGCTTACCAAGATGCATCCTTTATGCACATTATTTAGACTTCTGCAGAAAAGAGAAGCTGGAACCTGCATGTGCTGCAACTTTTGGGAAGGTAAAGAGTAAATGCCTTCAAAATTGGTTAGATTAATTCTTTGATAGAATCAGAATTTAGTACACCTGTGTCAAAATTCCTCTTAAATTCACATGTTTTCTACAGCTAATGTACATGGAATCAAGCTAACTACACTGTGTGAAGGGATTTCACGACATCAGCTTTAGGAGAATGAAGCTGAGATTCCCTTTGATTTATTGCTATTTCATACAAAAAAAGGCATTCTTTCTGAGAGCTTTTTTTTTTCCCTTTTTGATGATGGCTTTAATAGGGTTCTTTCCACAAAACCAGATCTGACATGGAAGACACTTTTAATTATGCTAAAGGCAGTGTAAAGTGAGATGTGACACAAGAAGCAATACAAGAAAGAGAATAAAAATTAATAAAACAAAGAGCTCCTGAATGAAAAAGTGTTGATTCATCCTCTTTTCTACCCTTCCCTACAATTAATCCTGAAATCATTTAATGAAAGGGAAATGTGAACTCTCCAAATTAAATCTTGAGTAGTTAGTGAAACAGGAAACCAAAAATGCTTCAAGGATCATCTTTTTTTAAACACTACTGAACTAGTCATTGTTCATACACAGCAAAATGCATTAATTTAATTACATAATCATAATGGATGTAAAATCCAGTTCATGAAATGTTCACTTACTAATTTTTTCCTCTTGAATTGGATATACTGAGAAAGTGTATGTCTAATTTTCATTACATATTTTCAGTGTAAATGAGAAAGACAACAGGTTTCTATTTAAACATTGTCTTGACAGTGATCTATCTATTGGATATATCTATTATATCTACCTCTATTACTGAATTACTTTTTACTTAATAAACATTTTGGCTTAAGCATCATTCTTTACAGGAAAAGTAGGATGTTTTTAGGACACTAATCTCAGTCTCAGGAGTCCAGTGACAGAACGTTTTCCTTGACTTGTATTAAATCACATAGCATGAAGTCTTTTTGTGCAGCATAGAGCTAACAAAAACATTTATAGGGTTTCAGTGAGCATAAATTTGCTTAAGACTGTCCAGCACTTTGCTAGTGGAGGACACAGAAATACCCATGAGGCAAATGCTTACTCACTTTAACCTTCAGATCACATTTTTCAAATCAAAAATCAGTTTATTTTTAGTTTTTTGTCTTTGAAAACAAAATAACTAGAGGCCAGATCTTTCCCTGGTTCTGTTTAGATCTCTGAAGCAAAAGATACAGTTGTACTTTAGGGACCCAAGTGGGACAGGATTCCAGAGAAGAAAACTAGATTTTATGTTCTAGAAGTGAAAATGGAAAAGAAGAACAGGTGGGAAGGAGTTTATGGGTGGGAAGACTGAGGTACACGATGAGGTAGACAAGGACAGAAGGACCCCTGCAGTATAAAACCTGCTTAATTGTTTATGTTTAGCATAAGTGTTATAAATATTTATTCATGGACTGCATTAGACCACATATTTACAAAACAGTTTTTTTCCATGAACAGATTGCTAAGAAAGTACACCAGTGTTAGAAATTAATACAGTTATTTTCTCTTTAGACCATTCGCCAGAAATTCCCTCTCCTTACCACAAGGCGGCTTGGAACAAGGGGCCATTCAAAGTAAGGCACAATTATCTCTGTATCCACTTGCAGAATACATTCAAGGAATGACGTATTTCCATGTCTCCATAATATATACTAATTGGCAGGGGTGGTTATTCAGATGATAAGCTGCAAGTGGTAACTTTCATGTACATGATGAAATTGATACAGAGTTTGAGTTTGAAAACAGTACTGCAGGCATAATTTCTAAAATTAAACTGATTAAGCTTCTAAAACTTATTATTATTTTTATAGAGCTATGCATTTGTTGCAAATATATGTCAAAATGTTATATATAAAACCCCATTATATAGGACACATATCTGTTACAGCTGTTCATCTTTCTATAAAAAATGTGCAATTTAACTATGATTTTATTTGCTTTTTACAAATCTAACAACTTTCATTGTGTTCTCTACAAAACAATATGGATTAATTTAAAGGCACTAGAAAAAAGTCTTAAATTGTCTTAAATTGAGAAGGTATACGTCTGTTCTTTGGTGTGGGTAATTACAAAAATTCTGAAAAGTACACAACCTATAGTGCAGTCATTTCATAAATAATGTATCCACTTAATTTGTATATTTGATCTGTGGAATATTAGACTGTGGGAATAGATCACAGGTGATTATATATCACCTGTGGTGAAATTTTTATTAATCCTGGTTCTGGCATTATGCTTTTGGCCATGATAAAATTATTGTAAAACTGTGGTGAACAGTGGTAACAGCATATTCCCTTATATCCAGCCTCCCTCCTATGTCCTGATATTAAGACTGCTGAGGAAGGATTAATGAATTGTCCACAATGTGGTTTTGTTTTTTAATAGAGGAATGCTACTTCTTAAGGAAACAAAAAACTATATGTGGCGTATTGATGTAAGGAATGTAGAGAAGTCAAAATAATGCTCTAGGGTATTGCTAGTGTCAAGCTCTGAATTAGATAATTTGAGGAAACTTCTGTCTCTGTTTGAGGAGTCACAAATGCAACAGTTCTCTATATTGCCTGAAACTAAGACTGGCTCTGAGCTTTTCTGAGTGTTGTGCTTTAAATTGTTACTTCAGTGTTTATCAATATCCTTTTCCAAAAAATATTTAAACCTAAATACTGTGCCCAAACCATTCTACATAAAATAGGACTAGGTAAATAATTTTGTTCTTTTAAAGTAACTCTCCAAAAACTTAATGGCTTTCAATCCCAAATAAAATTTAAACCAGATCCTTCTCTGTGTATTTCTATTGATTTCACAACAGGTTTTCCTAAAACTAAGACATTACTACAAGTAGCAAATTAGGATAGATATTGTGTCCAACTTTCTGTGTACACACAGAAATTAAACATTTATTATTAAGGCCTATATTTTAGGAGATGCAGGCCTTTAAATATGTGAGTATCCCTAGGATTTTTCTCATGCTTAAAATTACAAATGTGTTTATGTACTTACTGAATAAGATTCATGAAACTATCCTTGACTTACAGAAGAAAGCACAGAGTCAATGGTTTACTGAAAAAACCCTAAACCCCAGAAAATTAGCAAAGAAATGTTTTGCTAATGAATAAGATAGAAAATCATAATACTGGTAGTAATAAAAGAAACTCAAACATTCTGTTTGTTTGGGAAAATCTTTATTTTGAATGATTAGCCTTGAAAGACAAAGTTACTCCTGTCTTTCAGTAATATATAAGAAAATTCAAAATGAAAGGAGACTGAAAAGGAAAAAAAAACCTACAAGACTGTGGCTTTGCTAAGTGCTTTGCATATGTTAGGATGATGCATTGTTTACTTTTATAATTTTGGAGGGTTGTTTCACGTTGTTATGCTTGGTTTTCATCCTGCCTTAGAAATAGAAGAAATAGCCAGTTAATTCCACCTTAGTTTTGTTGAAGAATGCATCGGAGATGTTATTTGTGAATTTTAGGTTATGTTGCAGTATAAATGAAGGTAGGAAAGAATTTCAACTCCAGATTTTTTACAATGACATCTTATTTCCTGAGAATGTCTCAATTATTTATTTTAAATAATCATTGATAAAAATAAAATCCAAAGGAAATAAAGCCTGCATAGAATATTTTTCCTTTTTTTAAGAGAGGACAGTTCTTGCATAGTTTCTGTCACAGATTTGTAATCCATTGATTTATTTCAGGAAACTATACAATCTGTATTGTACAGAGGAAAACTGGAACTGAAGTTCATTTCTCTTTTTGTAGATGACCTATAGATGCTGAATAGAGGGGTTTTGAGGAGGGTAACTATTAGAAAGGTTATTTATAGGGGAGAAGAAGGATTTCATGTATTGTCTGCTGTGGTGAAGTTCAGCTATGGTTACAGGCACAAGCTGATGTGGACATTTGCTCCTGGTGTTGTATTGAGTATTTGACAGGAATATTTGACAACCTGGTAATTAATCAATGCCTTGGTTAAGTCTTAGGTTCATAACCCAACATATTTGGAGACCCACTTTCAAGTTTTAATGAATTAGATAATACAAGGGGAAAAGTCTCCCACATGCTCATTATATTTTTGATCTGACATATCTAATGAATTGATACACAAGATCCAATCAAGATCCAAACTTCCATAATGTATCATGTGTCTGCATAATTTAAAGCACAGTAAGTCAATGTCTATTAAGTAGAGGAGTATGTTTCAAACCTAGTTTTCGACATGAGAATCTAGCTACAAAATTAATTGCATGTGACACTATATTCTCCTTTTCTCTAAGACATTAAACAGTATTAGCACATAAATACCTCATGCCCAACATTTCTTTGGCAGATCCCATATCCTTACTGACCTTGGTGGTATTATGTGCCATATTTTCATATGGATTAACTGTTCTTGAACCATTTCCTCAAAGGGACGAGGCATCAGCAGGTTTTTGTGAACACTTGGCATTTGTTTCTCATTTTTTTTCATCGGAGTTTCCCTCAGACACTTTTCCTCAGCAATGCTCATTTCCACTAAGATACATTTACATTGTTCTTGCTGTGCAAAAAAAGACCTTGCAGAAGGCACAAGTGACAATATCTCCAGTTCAGAAACTGAATACAGCAGCAAGTAGTCATAGAGAAGTGAGGGTATAAATACCTCTCTGGTGTTGTGAACCATATTCCCCTCAGAACCACAGCCTCATTGAGTAGCAATTCATTTCTGCTTTCACCAGGTAGCAGTTAGTCACACAAATGCCATTTACAGAAGTATTTCCATTAAATTAGTAAGTAAATTAATGAACTGTTCATCAATTTTGGTAAATGACTAGTTACCCTCTGCTTTTATGTCAGCATGGACTCTAAATGTTGTAAGCTGTTCCTGTAAGCTGGGTTACTGGGACTTGTACAAGACACTTCTTACTAGCAACTAAATTATTTTTTTTTTAAGCATGGTAGTGTAGTGACATTGTTTTATTTCTGTTGTTGCTATCACTATTTCGATATAATGTTAGTAGGAGCAGTAATAGTAATAACTATTCCCAACAGTGATATTTCATATGGCAGTATTGCCTAGGAGCTCTGATCATTGTCCAGGACTCTACTGAGCCAGATGCTGCAAAAGCATGAAAGGAAAAAGACAATTCCTCTCCAATGGAATCATTGTTCTTGTGTTGCAAAGAAAAGCTAACTCCCCAGGAATAAAGTGCCTTACTGGACGCTGCATGCATACACAGTAACATATCACTAGAGCCTGGCTGTGGTCAGAAGAAAGCAAAGAAAATCAGTTCCCTTTTCCATCATCTTCAAGGTGACAGAAATTGTTTTTCTCCCACACTGAAACAAGGCCAAGCTCTTTCTAGCGTTCTCATGAACATGAATTGGATTTGAGCAAGACCTGCTGCTCTAAGGGGTAGGATACAGGTGCTGCTCTAAGGGGTGAAATACACAAATGTTAGTTCCTCCTCTGATTCCAAGCAGCATTTGTCATCTCCAGTTCTGGGCAAAGGAGACTTAAAAATGGGTCTAATAAATCCTAGAACTTTGATCCTCAGAGTCAGTGTCTCTCTGTGTTTTTACATCCAACAACCCATTTGTATAAAAACATCGATACTAAAACACTCATTTAAACATTTGGCCAAGAAGGTGCAACACATTGGACACAATTTTGTTAATAAAGGTCATTCATCTCTCATGCCCATGCTAATCACTCCAGATTGCTGAATGTGGGGGAAGTTTCCTATATCGCTGCTGAGTGGGAGAGGATCCATTACAATAAATACAGCAAACTACTCTTAAATTAGTATTTCATAAGCAACAATTCTCTGTGCAGCAGGTTCTGAGTCCACCTTTTTGCATAGATAATGTGGTCACTGCTAGAATTCAGCTATAATCTTCACGGTACATGAATTATGTGGAGCAGCTATTCGGGAAAATGTACATACTGCTCAGAACAGACACACAGAATACTGTTTGAGCTCAAGTTACAATTTAATTTCTTTGTAGACTTTGATCAATGATGAATCTTAGCTTTTATCCATCATGTCTGAAAACTATTATCTTATTTATTAGGAGTGATTTAGTGGGTTAATAAAACTGATATGGCAGCTGGCCCCATGATAACAAGTTATTGCAAGTCCCTGAACAGCTTAAGCCTATCATTTTGTTATCAGCTATCATTTGTGTCAGTGTATGCTAAAATCAGGCCTACTAGTTGCGTAGGAACATATGTTACAACAAACCACTGAAATTAAAAGAGGAAAGCAGTTCAGTTTGTTTTTTAAAAGGTTTGTTAAGAAAATTGAGAATAAGTTCTTTATGATGTCTGGTTTCATTTTATTAACTATACAATAGATGTATAACATAATAAAATACATCTATACTGTACATACACATAGAAATATGCATATGAAGAGACAGAAAGAGAGTACTTGAAGTTGTAGGTTAAAGATGTTATCGGTGTGTCTGTGATGGGTATACTACTCTCAACAGGGAGCCCAAACTAAGCTATTCAGCTAATGACTTTGGCTTGTAAGAGAATAAAAATCTTTGTACCTTATTACTCTATGAAGTAAGCTAGACAGAGCTTGAAAAGTACAGATTATAATTTTTGTAATTGTTTCTGTGTCATGGCTGGAAAGCTGCATCTTTTAGTAATGAAAATTCAACTACGTAAATCCCTGAAGGAAATCAGAATCATAACTGCTATGACACACTGATTAGGTACTGAAAATATCTATTCTCTACATAACAAAATGTCACAATAGTAAATTCTGATACCTTGCGGCATTCCAGAGCAGTAATTCTGCCTAACACTGGAAACCTGAGAGTCCAAATCATACAACAGTTCCTGTTTCTAGCCCAAATATGTTAATATTGAATTAGAAGTTGAATAATTTAGATGTTGAATCCTAACTTTGTAAAGAAGTAATGCTTTTCTTTGCCTCTGGCCCACTCCAACTTTAGCAGGAGGGAGTTCCAAATTTGTGGTGACAGTGTGAAGTTTTATTTTTAGAATTTAAAAGATGGCATTTAGAGTTTAAAAAATGTGATTGAAACTGGGAGATCTGGGGGTGCTGGAATGAGAGGTAGGCAACTGCTTGCTTACATGGCCAATGACAAATGTGCAGATAACATTGTTAAAGAAGTAGTCTTCTATTTTGTTTTTCATGCTGTTCAATGCACAACCTTTGCAATGTCACGACTAAGTAAATTCTGTTATTTCAAAGAATCCATACATGTATATTTTTAATACCTCTTGTGTAACATCTAAAGTTACTTCATTTTCATTAAAGAAGAAAAAATGTTTATACCTTTAGCATTTATGTCAAAACTCTGTCAAATATTAGGAATTTCCAGATCCAGGTCTTTGGCCCAAGTCTGTCTCTTTAATACTCCTAAACCAAAGGTAGTGGTTGAAAACCTTCAGGACTTGAACTCACAACGTAGGTGACACTGTACTGTATGTGAACCAGAGGACAACAGCAATGTCTAGCATTATGACTTTTAATGAAACGTCCCATTGGCATCCCAAACTACCTTGAGGTGTCACTTTGCTTTGATCTGCCAACTCTGACTTTAATGGATAAAAAGTGAACTATTACAAGCAGATGGTCCTATGTCCGAGCTTCTGAGTATTAACAGGAATTTAAAAATGATCAGTTCACCACATTACCATTCCTCAGAAAAATACTCTTACAAGGCAAGAAAACTAACAGGAAAGAAATAGGTGAGAAATTTTGGCTTTCCTATGGGTTGCCAGTACCATTGTGATGTAGTGGTATTATGTAGACTGATTAGTTTCAGGCAAACAGTAAAAGCTATGACATTTAACAGCAGCCACTTTCTGTCACGTTTCTTGGCTGTGAAATCCTGAATGCCCAAAACTGACTATTCAGAAACAGAATGACTATTTCAGCTGAGATTTTCAAAGCTACCTGGGCTAAGCAAATGTATCACCCTAATAAACATTTTCTTAAATATATTTTATATCTAATGCCTTTGGTCAGCTTTGTAAATATAAAGCATTTGAGGATTTTGTTCTTATCTGTGACTGTCCCATACAAGAACAAACAGTAAGATTGTGATTTTTTAAATGGTCATTTTGTTGACGTGTTCTATGAACTGTTTGCTGGGGGCTTTGTCTGAAGCATGTGTTTCTTTAAGCTTTTGAGAAGTTTCAGTGAAACTAGTGCAATGCCTTGCAAAGTGTTACTTCTTTGTGAGGCTTGGTTTATATGCAGTGTACTTGAACTACAAGTTTTACTTTGAAACAGTGCAGTTAAACCAGTTGCCATGGTGTTTTCAAGCTCAGTTTGGTAAAAGCCAAATGAACCTGAGTATACTGTCCATAACATTCTTAGAGAAATTTGGTTTTACACAATCAATCAGCTTTTAAATCCATTGAGTGGAATTTATAAGACAGGGCCTATCACCTTTGATAGATGAACTCAAGCAAACTTTGCTATGACCGGTAAAGAAAGAGCTGCCCCTAGCTTGCTCTCCTGCCCTTCTCCTGAAGGTCACTTCTTTTGTAGCAAAGTCAGTGGAAAGCAGTAAGTATCTGCCACATAGCCAGTTTTCTTAGCATCAACCCACCCTCTTTAGTGTCTTGGGTTAAGGTGTTGCGCTCAGCACTGCAGAGCCTGAGCAATAGACACGTGTTTCCTTCTTCCAGCTCTATTTGGGAGCAGTAATCTCCATGAGAGCAGCAAGGGAGACAAATGTGAACTGCTTAAGTGGCTAAAAAATTCAGAGTCAGTCAGCCTACAACCTGAGAGAAGAAGGAATGAATGACATATTAGCATTTTTAGTCATAGGATGCTGAAAACTAGTTTATAGGGTACACGGGCAACTTATTTTCAACTAAGTGCTCTGTGGGACTCTCTAAATATAACAGTGGTAAGCCTGATAAAATCAACTTGGTAGATCAAACCCAGCACCCTTTCAACAAATGAAGTAAAATGAAAGAGAATGCACATTAGGGAAAAGAGATGTAACATGTTTCTAGGAAATTTGCTGTTCCAGCTGAATTCTTGTAAGAAAGAAAGTGTTTTAAATTTAAAGAAGATCCTATCCTTGGATTTTGGATCAAATCATGACAATACTGTTTTCCATGAGACCAGATTTTGTTCCATGTCAGTAAGAGAAGTTTTCAGAAAGCATTGAAAATTGACAGTTTGCTTTACTTGACACGTCACTCAAACACACCTCTTTTTTTCCCACAGGTATCACTATTATGGAATTGGCATTAAAGAAAGCAGTGCATACTACCACTCTGTGTATTCTGGAAAAGGCTTAACCAGGTACAGTAACATAACTTCTGAGACTTAAGTGAGTGAAGGTCTAACTTTAACCTTCCCTTAGGAAGGTATTTGTAGGACACTAATTTTTGTTGATACCACAACTAATATTGCTGCATATCTCAATGTCTGGCATTCCTAGATTTAAGTAGCACTTTGCTGCCTAAAGACATTAATTTTGTTTTAAGAGGTTGATCTAGATCTTTTGCTATTGTCTTCCAGTGTGGCCCCACCGCATTCAGTGTAGAGCTGCATCAACTTATAACAGCAGAGGATTTGTTCAAGTTCATTTGAGGCAGCAAAACACTTTTTCCAGAACACTTGTCTCATTTTGTTTGCTTGAGTGTCACCCTCTGAGTTCTTTCCCCAGGACAGCTTCCCATTATGAAACGTCTGGAGAATGGTGTGAAGCTGGCACCTGTGGGCAGGAGGGAGGGGTCAGTGTAGATTAATATTTACAGGTCCTTTGACTGACTAATATCAGTTTAAACCTAACCCAGGAAGCTCTAATTATATTTATTTAAGGGACAGCTAGCAGGATCAATACGTTACGATAGCTGCCTGTTGGTTTGCCAAAGATTAATAGTTCGTAAAACAAATGTCTCTGTTCACATATGGCTTGAATGACGGCTTTCATTGTCTACGGCAGTATACCTGTATAAGTGGAGACTCTGAGAAAGGAAAGGAATAAATGAGTTTATAATCACACATAGAAAATTCAGCTGCTGGCAGATTTAGGTTATATCCAAAGAGACTTTTTCCAAATAATAGGACAAATGTAAAAATTGAGGGTAATGTTGCCAATGATGCTTAAAAGGAAGGATCTCTTCACTGCAGCACTTAAGGTATAATAGACTGGGATATGCCATTTCCTTGTCCAGTATTTATCCAGAGCAGCAGAGGTGTTGCTGGTATACAGTGAGATGAGGTTCTTTCATAACACAGAATTTTCTTGAACGAATTGCTCATTTAATTGACTAAAAGACAAGTTATTTTCATTTAAGGGAATACAGTCACTCTTACTCCTCAACTTTATGTCAGCCAGTGCCCTTTTCATGTAAAGCTCTGTCCTTGCACTATCTAGCAGCAATGAATGCAAAGAAAGTGGAGATTCTGCAAAATTCCCCATGGCTGGATTTCCAACGGCATACGCTCACATAAAGATGGCATAGATACTCTCTAAGTATCTATGTATTTATAAGTATCTATAGTATTTTCAGGACTACTCACTAGATTGACTAGATTCACTATTTAGGAACCTTTTTTTTGCATTAGGACTTGTGCTCTCATGTATGAGATGTTGAGTTTTCAGGGTCCAGCAGTCAGACTGCCTCCCTAGCCGATTTAGAACAGAAGCTCGAATGCTCATTTTGCACAGTCTGGGCCATCACTTAGGTTGGATTTATCTGTGTGAAGAGAATGATGCAGTAGCCAGGGGTTAAGAACAAGCTTCTGGGTAAAAAAAGAGTCAGGCAGTGTAGGGATTCAAAACTGATTCAAAATCTCCCAATTGCTGACTGCTGCATATAATGATCCATCATAAAATCTGTCCTTTGTCTGATATCTGCTCTGGTAGGTGAGCTATAAAAATGGTTCCTGGGTCAAGCTTGGGGCAGAAATAGGCAGGGAAAATATATGGGTTGATAATGGTGTCAGATCACATCATGCCCATGCATAAATATAGGCATATGGAGGCCTTTACCACCAGGCTTGCATGTTAGATGGCAGCTTGTCAAAAGATTAGGAGGGGCAATGGGCCTCAGTTTATTTGCCTAAATATAGGCCTGTACTGCCATTTCAAACTTAATTGGCATTCATGTATTAATATTTAGGTAATTGAGCTGAGTACAGTAGTCCTTAAATGGAGGGTTGCAGATGCCTGAATCCTTAAATTCCACTGTAAATTTGATCTCCTGATTCCTTTAAATATCAAGCCTTGCACTGTGAAAGGAGCAGACCTAACACCAAAAATTGTTAGTATCCACAGCACTGTCTGTAGGGTAGCTTTAGCTAGCAATTAAGGCTCTGGAGGTGCAATGCTAGCAGATGCTGCCTCATGTTTTTGCTGTACATTCTGTGTACATTTTGCTGCACATGTGGAAATCCATAGTCCATAACAAATACATCCAGCTATGAAGCTAATTAGTTCCACGTTGTAATCAACTGAGTGATGCCTTCTTTTGTGCTCATCTATCAACAATTCAGGGAACTCTGTAGGTAACGTTCTGGATCATCATGTGATGGGAACTGTCAGGTGCCTGTGCCTGGCCTGGGCAGGAGGAATTCCACAACCGCTCAGCCTCTGGTTTTCTTTTCTGCCAGCAGAGCATCTCAACAGCATGATATCACAATATTGCCACTAATAATTATAAGACTTCATGTTGCCCACGGTATCTTATCAGTTGGCAGCTAGCAGAACAGGAAATAATAATCAAACAACATTTATCATTATACTGATCCATTAGAATCCCTATCATTACACATTCTATAGTTTGGTAGTTATACTTTAAAATGTGTGCTTTCTGATTTCTGCACTGAAGAGTTGCCTGATAGTCCAATGACTTCGTTGGGAATCTCTCAATTGGACTCTTAATAGGACATTCACTATACTGCAGCACATTTTTGACAGTTAATGAATCTTTGATGTCAGAAATGCATTTCATCTGCATCTAAACTGTACTGTGGTGAAAAAGAATGGAAAATCACTATGATTTCTTCATTTTCCTGAGAAGTGTAAATTCTAGATATATTTTTTTGTACTCTGAATTTGCTCAGCTGTATCAAAAACCTTATATATTTCCTGGTAAAGACTTTACAGACTTGCACCTGTGCTGCCCTTTTGATATTTGTGAAGTTGCAAAGATTCAAAGAAAAAACTGAAACTGGGTTTTGTATTTTACTGTTTAGTCAATTATATGAATCTTCATGTCTTAGAAGACATCAGTAGGTTTCCTGATATCCTTAGGCACTTGCAAACCAATGGAAGAAGTTAAGAAAAAAAAAAATTCTTTTTATTATAATTACATTTGGAAAAATGCTATAATTTCTAATTGATATGTTATATATATATTGTATATGTGTGTATATTTATATATACACACGAACTCTAAAAATGTTCTGCTTATGAAAAAAATAATCAAATGTGTTTATTTTCAAAGGTTCTCTGGAAGCAAGTTAAAGAATGAGGTAAGTGCTGTAATCTGTTTCCTTTCACATCTGTTATAATCTACATATTGTATCACTTGTGGTTTTCTTCACATTATTTTTTTTTTTTAAATTACATCAATATTTTTCATTAAAGATTAGACAGCATAATCTTTTTTCATGAAGTTGAGTATTTGCTCCTCTAAATATTCAAAAGGAAATAAGACTGGAAGGCACCTTCTGGGGTTCCTGTTCTAATCCAGTTCCCCCTAGCCACAGAGGTTCATAATAGAGTCTCTTAAAGAAAGGATCAAACTCTAGCTTAATTTTTTGCATCCATTACTTTTGCAGGAGGGCTTTTCCAGAATCTCATTTGTCTGATTGCAAGCCAAAAGATGGTGTTTTTATTGAACTGAACTTTGTAGCTCCTGATCAGGATTGTCTTTCTCTATTTTTTGCTCTTTTCAACCCAGTAGTTTCCCTGTCAACACAACTTGTTAGCATTTCAGCTGGAGTCAGTTTCTCAAACATTTTACATTCTTGTACTAATCCCCATTCTCACTAGTATAACTAATCATTTCCCATGGTGACACCACGTCAAGTATTCTAGTTAGGTTCAGATAGATTAGGTAGGTCTTTTTGCTGCTTTGGCTTGCTAGATTGAACAGGCAGCAGCTTTTAGTCACTGCTGATCAGCCTTATAGCCTTTCACTGTACTTGTTCCGATTTGAATATCTTCATAGAAAAAAAATCATAAAGTCTTGTAAATGGCATGTCTCCAGTTTCTAATGGAAATATCCCTTCTGATGAACCCTAGAACTGCGTTTGTTTTTTGTTTGGTCGTTTTTTTCCCCACAAGTAGCCTACATTTTCACTACTGTACACTATGGTATAGTCACTGTCATTCTGGTCATATTTATGCCAGAAAATTATGGATTATTGTATATTAAGGGTTAAGGATTGCTCCCAGGATAGATCTTTGACACTGAGTTCAACTGGCATGGAATAGCCTGCACATCCATATTATTAAACTCCTGAACCTACAAAACAACGTAGGCACATGTCAGCCACATTGCCACAGACAAAAGTCCCTAGCATGCATTAAGACTAGGAATTGTTTGGGAATCTGCTAATTGGCATGGGCCTAAAGAATGCCAGGGGCCATTCTGAATAACATGGTTCCAGTATTGCTTGGGAATGTATCCAGACACCATTTAATTTACCAGACTAAATATACCTTCTGTGATCAACTGATATGCAGCAAGTCTTTCTCCTTTTTCACTTCCAGATAAGCAATTCCTAGCTGATAGCAGAAATTCTTATTGGTCCCTGAGAGTGTAGCTTTGCTCTATTGATTTTCATCCCCTTTATTGCCATTATCTCAAAGCCATCCAGATCTTTCTACATGACCTCTTGGTCTTCCTCTTTATTGACGATTTCATTAGCTCATGTCAGCCAATTTAATCTATGAAATGTTCAATAAGATCAGCCCCAAGTCTGATCTTTGAGAATCTTCAGTCCCTTTTCAACCCAGTAGTTTCCCTGTCAACGCAACTTGTTAGCATTTCAGCTGGAGGCAGTTTCTTAAACATTTTACATTCTTGTACTAATCCCCATTCTCACCAGTACAACTAATCATTTCCCATATGACACCACGTCAAGTATTTTAGTGAGGTTCAGATAGATTAGATCTGCTGCATTTTCCCTATTCAGGTAATCAGCTATCTTATCAAAAAAAGATAGTGCTTTGCCATGGGATATCCCCAATCAAGGATTCATGAGCACTACTACAGCATTCATTCTTTCAGAGTTTTGGGATGGAAAATTTCTGGTTCCCTTGACATAAATGAATGCACATTTACTTCCATCTCTGATGTGGCACTCCCAGTCTGTTTGGGAATTGACAATCCCACAAACCTGTCTTGTTTCTGCCCCAAAGTTCAATACCTTCGTCCTCCCAGAAAAAGAATCACAGAGAAGTTGGTAGAAATAAGTGAGAAAGGGCACATGAGTATGGGTTTTTGATTGTTTAGATCTGTGTTGTCTGAAATTATTCAGGCAGGTCTTAAAAGAAAAAATGTCTTTCATGGTCAAAACTGAATTTTAACAATCTCAGCATAATGAAAATTTGTCATCATACTTTCCATTAAAGTGAACAGGTGATACATCCTTATTCATTTGCTTGAAAGTACATGCAATTAGGTATTCCAGAAAGATTTACAATGATTGCATAAGGTGTAATTTTCAGTAGGAACATAAAGACATTGAAAAGATGTTAAAGCACTGATTGTCTAAATATACTGAGTAAATGGCATTTGAATGAACACTTATTGAGTGCCAGGGACACTGTTTACTTCTGGTATGTTTTATCACATTTTCTAGTATTCTCTCTGTAGGGGGAGATATCAGCAAATTCTTTTATCTAAACCAGTTAGTGCACCATTAGAGTCTGCATGGTTAATTAGGCAGATAATATTACTGTCATTATCTTAATGTTAAATGGCCATTAGAAACAGATGGCATTAAATTGAAAGGGCAAGTGGCAGTGGGTTAAAATATTAAGCCTAGAACCGAGGCACAGTCATATAAGTCCATTAGCTAGGTAAAAAACATTACAGATTATCTTCTCTTAAACCTCCCACCACCATCACTGCCTTCTTTTAAATGAACTAATCCCTTTTAATCAGAGCTTTTAATATATTTCATGGGTAATTGCATGATAAAATCATTGAGATACTGCTGTTATTAAAAAAAGAAAACCTCCTGATACTGATAGGCAATTAGAAAACTGCAAAAGTATTAACATGAAAAAGTACTAATGTTTCTAAATTTCTACAATTTCTTTGACTTAGGGCTTTGTATGTATTTGACTAGCAGATAGCACAGGCAAAGTGTGTTTACATAATGTATGTTTTTGTTCCTTGCTCTCTGTTTTGGCAGACACATCACCCTATAATAATAGGGATGTATATATGGTGAATAAGTCAGTTACAGCTATAGTTTTCTGAATTCAATATTTGAGAGAATTTTACTTGAAACTTGCTTCCAATTCATGAGTCAAGATTTATAGGCAAATACTCCCTTTGGCACATTTTTACACTATATGTTACACTATATACCTGATATTCCCACTTCACTGAAATCTGACCGTATGCAAAGGGGTAGGAAAAGGCCGCTCCAAGTACTGTTCAAATGCCTCATGCACAGTCGTAAATTCCATCCATTAGTACAAAGGGAATCTGCACAGAAGTAGTGGATTTACTGCAGGAATACGCAAAAGGCCTGTTCAAAGCTCTGTACACTGCCTTGACATAAGGACTGGGTAGGCTAAAATGGAACAAAGGGTTTCAGCCGAATAGTCTTCTCTAGATTTGAATGCAATCGTATGAGAATGAGTAAGATTCAGTCAGTAAGGACAGAATCATAATACATATTTTATTGCTTCTCTTGAGAATGAGGATTTAATCTTCATTATAGCATTTGAGAGCTTAATAAGCATATTGTGGTGCGCATTATAAGCATAGTAACACTACATCACTGCAGAATGTTACTGCTCAGCTTTACTGAGTAGACTAAATCAGATTTTGTGAGGAGTTAGGTTAGGAGTCTAAACAAGGGTTGATTTACCATATATTGCCTCACTGTCAGTATCCACACATACAAGGCTGCTGCTTGTTTCATTCTTCAATCCCATCCCTCCAAAGGCTAGCATCTAATAATTATTCAAGATCTTTTCTCAGTCAGTAACTAGTACAAGATGTGTCTATGGTATTTCAGATGTCACAAGCTAAAGAGGCTTAAGAGGTGAACTCTAAGAACTGAAAGGAACTCTCAGATCAGTAGACTTTAGCATAATTCAGGAGGAATTTATCTTGTCTTCAGGTCAGCATTGACCGTGTCTCAACAAAGTAACTGGAGAACACTAAATGTCTGGGAATGTCATTCTTATTGAGATATGAAACCAGGGCTTCATGTCAAGTCTGCCACAATGACAGAGAGTTGTATAATAAATACTTAGTTCAGAAGTGTCCATAGACCCTATATACCATCCAATCCATAACATCATAAAGTATTGCCAAACTTTGTGATAAACTAAAATAGTGGTTACCATAGTAAAACAGCAGAAATCACTGTTCCAGTGCTATGAGAGCAGGAAGAGAGCAGGGGAGAATAATAATATCTCCAGTACCTTACATCCTTGCACTAGGAAGATACATATTAAATAAAACTTAGGGTCTCCCTGAGGATATCACAGTCTTTCCTGTAGAGGAGAGTAGTATTCTACTCTAGTTTTTAAACATAGAGTAAATCCAAAGCTTGTAGAATTCCATGAAGTAATGCGGCTCAAAGACTGCATCTCTCTGAAAACTCTATTTGGTGGAGTTTAGATCTAGGCATATATTTAATTGCCTTCCTGAGCTGGAATCCAGATCTGGATAAGCATCAATATTTTGGAAGGATTATCTGAATGTAAATATTCTGGAATGTTGAAAGACTTATGAGATACTATACAAGTTTAACATGAATTGTTGTTTTCAGTTTAATCTGTATTAGCTTTTTCAATGTTCCTGTTTTTTTCCCTTCTGTTTCAGGGTGGTTTCACTCGTAAATATTCTCTGAGTTCCAAAACTGGAACTCTCCTCCCAGAGTTTCCAAGTGCTCAACACCTTTTGCTTCAAGGGTGCATTTCTAAAGACAAGGTAAAATGTGAGCTACTTCTCTTCTGATTTGCAGATCAAAAATTGCCACAGAATGTTTCTTCATATCTTAGCCTTTGAGGTATTGACATGAAAGAGCCAGAAATGTCCATAGTCAAACAGAGGTGACTGATTTATAGAGGGGGCAAACCTTTACTAACACCGATTAACTGGCTTTCCACTGGAAAGGTGGTTGAATTATTTACCTATTAACTGACCTAGTATTTTACAAACTGATGGTATGTAAGACCGGGAGAGCAAAACAAACAAATAACTGAGAGTTGTATTCATTCCAAATGCCTTTGGATTTAAGGTAAATTTTGTTCTGATTAGATCAGAACAAATAATTCACAACAAATAATTAGATGAACTTTACTCTCTTTCATTAATTGTTTGAAAAGAGACTGTGAAACTCTGAGCATATGTGTTGTTTTTTCTTTAAATTAGTAAAATCGTATTCCTCAAATCAATACTCAGTATTGCTTATCCTAAGGGTAACTGTTTAGTTAGAAGTATTTCTGGCATATGTTTTATGTCTTTGCTTGCCTTGTGTTACATCTGTGTTGTTTCTGGTCACATTACAGGCTGCTACATCCCTGAACTGTGCTAGAAACCTTTTGGTACACATTGTGAACTCTCCAGTTTAGCCTCCAGTATGGGTCATGATGGTGGCTGTCTTGAGATATGTTGCTTAAAAGCTTTTTGTTTTATGAGTCCTTCCTCTTAATTTTGTTCTGTGACGGTAGTGAAGCCTAGGATTCCTGTTGTGAGGAGCTAAACAAAAGGAGCCATCCATAGTACAGAGATCTTAGCTGGAAATCTTACACTTCTTAAAGAAAACTCAAGAACTGGTATACTCAGCAGTGTGCATCATCTGCTGCTATAGTCTCCACCAGTGAATTGACATCTCTCAAATATACAGCATTCTCCTAACATTTAAATCTGAAAAGCATTTGAGGTTCCTTGCAGGCCCAACACAGCAGTGCAAGCAAAACTGAATGTTACCACTCCAGCAATGAAGAAAAAGATGCAACTCATTTTCTCTTCATTCTTGGGTCAGCAGCACATAATTCCTCTGATGATGGGACCAGATGATGGGAGAGTCCAACAGGGCTTTGCGGGTGACTCTGTCTGGGGACAGACTCATGGAGTTATGAGAAGACTGTGGGAAGAAAAATGAATTTCTGTGTGTCTCCCTCTCTCTCTTTCCTTGCTGCTCTTTCCTCATTCCTTGTTCTCTTATTTTCTGTTTTCTTACCTTACTGTCTTTCCCCTCCTTCAGCTTATTTGACCAAGGATTATTGACCTAAGATAGTTAGGTACTCTGTTGAAGAGAGCCCATACATGAAGTTTGACTCCTGCATTAAACTCCTAAGAAGTTGCATGTAACTGATATCTCTGGAGAGTCCATGAATATATCAGTCTGCACTAAAATAGATTGATAATTTCTGCATTTTATGTTTCTGAAGAAAACTTACCCAAACTGTAAACTTCCATCAACCCCTTCCAAAAAACCTCTTGAAAATGGTCTTAATCTTACTCTTTGCCATTGTTTTTCAAAGATCTGTAGTTACAGAAGCAGCTTTGAAAGTCAGCAAGGTCTGTTTTCAAAGAAATCCATATGCTAAACCAGTTGAAATAAGGTGGTACTAGATTCGTTCAAAACCTGATATTGGTTTGCTGGAGAAGTTCACCAGCTCTGTGATTCTGGACCATAAGAAGGCTTTGCTAGCATTTTTCTTTCCTTAAAATACTTTACAAAAGTCTTGTTTTATAATTTGCTACAAATTTCAAAAATTACTACCATTTTTTACAAAGTCTTGTAATACCTCTGCACAGTTATTAAAATAAGGGAACACTCCACTCAGATAAATTAGCGTGATGAGATGAAAGGGAGTTCTGCTTTTGAAAGTTCAGTTCATGTAAGGCAGTGATTAAACTTTGACCAAATGACTGGCAGCTATTTTCTCATTTGTCCAACTAGATGATGTTTCAGAACACTCATAGACGCCTATAGTAGCCTAATGATTAACTTGCACTACTCTTTGGGATTAATCTTAGCTTTGGAAAGGTGAATTTACTTTACCATTTGACTGGTTAATCTAGCTATTGCCTTACTTTGATATCCACATTTTCACAGTGTATACAGACTCAGATGCTACATTTCTGACAACAACATTGAGACTTAAAGATGTCGATAAAAACTAGAGATGAGTGACCTCCTCATCTGTACTTCTGGATGTACAGCATGCCTATTTGTAAATATGCATTGTAATACAGTTTGTATTCTATATTTAAATACTAGCTACAGAAAGCAGAAACCTAGATCACTATAGCAGTAAAGGAGAGAGCTAAGAAACTCTGTTTAATCTTTCTTTCTCCCAAAATAGGTAGATACTCTTATCATGATGTACAAAACACACTGTCAGTGTGTCCTTGACAATGCAATTAATGGGAACTTTGAAGAGGTAAGGTTGTTTAAACACACATTCTTGGTATATATGCACGGGGAGCCAAGAAAGCATTATTTATGTCCATGAATCTGGTTCCTCCTCCTTTAGATTCAGCATTTCTTATTACATTTTTGGCAAGGGATGCCTGACCATCTTCTTCCTCTGCTTGAAAATCCCATCATCGTTGACATCTTCTGTGTTTGTGACTCAATACTGTATAAGGTAAGTAAGTTAAGCATTTAGCTACATGGATAATCTCAACCACGTTACAGCTTTTGCTTGTGTAAAAACAGTGTTGAAGTTAGAATAACAGGATGCCATGACTGCTGTCTGCCTCTTACCTGTGTAAATCAGCAAGGATTCCATTGAAATCAAGAACATAAAACTAGCACATACAAGAGCTGAACTCCAGCCTCACCTCTGCTGCACACTTGATGGGTGACTACAGGCAGCACACTAATAAGTGAAATCCTGACCTGCTTGCTGGAATGTAGCTGAAAGAAGTGTTTGTGTGGTTTGCTGACAAGGCTGAGTTAAGTCTGGATGAAAACTGAAGCCTTGATTTTACTTCTCAGATTATTGCAATTTCTATCAGCAAAGAGAATCTGTGGCAGATCAGCAAGGTGATTCTACCTGCTACTCACAGGTTATGTCAGGCCATGGTTTCATGTTACAGGGCTGGAACAGTACTGGGTTAAGATATTCCTGCCTCTCCTGCCTGCTACACTTCATTTCTGTTCCTATGATTCTAAATGTACCGGCAAAATTGCCGCACGCTGAAGTGGTTTGGGTTTTTAAAAAAATTTCAGGAACATTTGTTCTGCAGAGTTTTTGTGCCATACGAGTTCTTTGATCTAGTTCACAACATGATCAAATGAATAGTTGAAACTAAGTGAAACTAAGGAGTATTGCAAGGTCAGGATTAAGCGATAGAGCTTTGGGGAAAAAATAAATAATGTCATCAAAGATTCCTGAATTTTTAATTCGGAAAATCAGATCAGTTCATTAATTAACAGCTGCGAAGTACTTTAAGTTCCTCTGATAGGATGTGCCATATAAATAGAAAAGGATTGTCATCCTCTCTCTTAACACATTTCATGACCACATATCAATGGAAAGAAATAACTATTGGTATAAGAGTAAACACCAAGCAGTTAAAGCAAGAGACTTGGGGCTCTTGAGCACCAAGTGCCTTATTGTCATCAATTTGTCATTCTTTACTGTACAAAAATATGGGGGAAAAAATCCAGAAAAGATTAAAATACATATTTCTTAGAAGCATATCAAGCTGTAAAGTAAGAAGAGGTGTTTTAGTTAGCAGAGTGAAGTAAAGGTGATTAGCATCAAAGATCATAATTACTCCCCTGGAGATGAGCCATTAAGCCTCATTTACTTGTAGAGGTTATATTGTACCTTGAGTTTATGATTTTTTTCCTGCTTTAAACGTGCTGTTGCAACAGAGCCAATCTTAACTTGATTTGTAATAAATTTTTAATGTGACAGAAGAAGAAATACTACAGCTGCACTAAATGAGAAATTTAATAAGACAGAATTTCTCAAAAGTTCATAAATTTACCGTCATGCCTCTTCTTTGTCTCTCACTATTTCTCAGTTATAATCATTTTAGATATTCTGGACAGCACAGCTGCCAGAAAGAAGGAGGAATTTTCTTGTGTTATCAAACCATTTACATTAGTAGTGGAAACAGATTTTTGGGATATAGGCTAACAACTTTGTCCTCTGCAATAACATTCCCCAGAGGGTATGCCAGATGGTACAGTTTTTTGCCAAAACAGTTCCACACCACATTTAGCTATAAGGGATTTGTCCTAAACTCTGGACACCTTCAGTGCCACATGCACTATGGCAGAAAGAAGAGTCAAATAGCTAACAGCACTCAAGGACTTGGGAGATGCTTAAGTACCTGTTTTACTGAGACTCACAGTGATGCTAGAAAAGACAAAGTGTTTATGCATCTCACTTCTACTGATTTTCCTACTGTAAGACATGAGTGATAGCACTTTCTTGTTTTACTGGCATGCTGGCATACATTAAGAATGGGAGCCCTCTAGGTATATAAATAGCTCATATGTTCCTATCTAATAATGGTGGGAGAAATTTAGGTATATAAATATCTGGACAACAGGTTGAATGGCTTTATTCTGTATACATTTCCTGTCCTTATCACTTTGTAATCTAAGTACACAAGACAGACATGAATGAATAAATGGCCAATGGAAGCTTGATATAATTTTTGTTACCTTTTTGAAGGTCCTTACAGATGTACTCATCCCTGCAACAATGCAAGAAATGCCAGAAAGGTAGGTATTTGACACTTAATAATAATGCTACATTCCATTTGTTAGGCATATTCCAGGTAAATAGCAGAAAATCTGTATTCTAGAAAAATTTCTCACAGTATTTATACTCATTTTTAGAACAGTGGAATATGTATGGCAAAATACTCTCAGCTCTGAGGATAGCTATAGAGCATCCTTAAAATATGACACAGTATTTTAATGTCCTAAAGCCCTAGAAGGTCAAAAAAGAAACAAATGTACTCATGTAGTTTAAGGAAAAATAATTGTTATGTTTTTTTCAGAATACTTTTCAGGTTTGTATCCTATGCATCACCATAATATCTAATCATTTTCTCAACAAGACATTAATAAAAGGATTATTGTAAGTTACCTTACATCTTTCCTTTCCCTTGAAGGGCATCTTGTTTGGGGTTTTATATCTAAGGTCTTTAGCTTCAGAGAGTTCTAATGTCTTAAAGCTAGTGTTTCTCAACCTATTTATTTCAACTGGCAGATGGCTTACAATTTTTCTCAGAGGAGGTAAGATCAATATATAGTCCATTTTAAGCCTTTTGATGATTGGCCATTTCCTGTTTCCCTTTGGTGGCACCTGAGGAGTAATTCACAGATATGTCCAGGAGTCTGTTAATTATAGATTGAAACTAGATTATTTAAACTTATGCAAGACAATTTTTATTGATGTTTCTCCAAAACACATTTTTTTTCCTATAGTTTACTGGCAGATATAAGAAATTTTGCAAAAAACTGGGAACAGTGGGTTGTTTCCTCCTTGGAAAATCTACCAGAGAACCTGACAGATAAGAAACTGCCTATTGCACGAAGATTTGTTTCCTCCCTGAAACGACAGACATCATTCCTACACCTAGCACAGGTAAACAGAATAAGACTATACATCCAAAAAATTGTCCGTTACATTCAGTGCACCTTGCTGGCTATGAGATATAATGCATTATTTTTTCAAGGTTCAACTTCAGCCATGGAAGACATATATCTTATATATATCCAAGACATATATCTTGCATATATCCATGCAAGAAGGAAGTGGCCATAAATAGATCTAACCAAAACTTCAAACTTTTGTGGTAGAAAAGAGAGAAAAGACCATGGTTATAATGAACTACTATCATGGGAACTTTTGGCAATCAAATGACTAAGTGGAATATATGGGTATTTGGTTTAGTTCCAAATTGGAAAATATCAAATGATCCTTCTTGCCTAGCAAAGGTCTGCTGTCTTGTCCATGATGTCTTTTAGTGAGCTTATTTCTTTTTGAGTTTTGACTGAAAGAAGAACGTGTAGCTGAGGGCTCCAAGGCTGTGTTGGTAGGACACAGGCATCTGCAATTAGGAGGCACCTACATGTGATGGTTTGGTAGGTTATACAACAGGATACAATGCCTTTTGGGGAACTTAAGTGCTAACAGGTGGTAGTCCTCATGAATAACTGTAGATGCACCATATATTCATCTTGACTTAGTTTTCTCTTTCATAAATATTAAGACAGAAGTAGCACGTGCGTGACATCATGAAGATGATCTGATAGGAAGGCATATTAGAAGAGCATTAGAAGTCTAATGGAAGGGAACTGTTGTCTCATCTGATCTACAAAAAAACCCAACCATGATAAGAAAATTAAACAGAATATGATTCTTCTCTGAGGAGTTATTCAGGTGATCCCCAAGTGTGGGTCTGTTCTGATTTTGGCTGGGATAGAGTTAATTTTCTTCGTAGTAGCTAGTATGGGGCTGTGTTTTGGATTTTTGCTGAAAACAGTGTTGATATCACAAGCATGTTTGTTACTGCTGAGCAGGGCTTACACAGAGTCAAGGCCTTTGCTGCTTCTCACCCCACCCCACCAGTGAGTAGGTTGGAGCTGCACAAAAGTTTGGGAGGGGACACAGCTGAGACAGCTGACCCCACCTGGCCAAAGGGATATTCCATACCATATGATGTCATGCTCAGCAATAAAACTGGGGGGAAGTGTGGAAGGTGGGGGCACTGTGCAGGGCATTGGTCGGTTGGTGGTGTGCAATTGTTTTCATTGACATCACTTGTTTTTCTTGGGTTGTACTTTTCTCTCTGTTATTTTTTTCCCTTTTCATTACTTTTTTTTTTTTTTAATTATTAAACTGTTTTTATCTCAACCCATGAGTTTTCTTACTTTTAGACTTTGGATTCTCTCCCCCATCCCACCAAGGGGTGGAGAGTGAGTGAGCAGCTGTATGGTGCTTAGTTGCTGGCTGGGGTTAAACCACGACAAGGTCTCAGCATTTTACCTTGCCTTCTCTTACAGATTGCTCGGCCAGCCCTTTTTGATCAGCATGTTGTGAATTCCATGGTGTCGGACATTGAAAAAGTTGATTTGAATAGTATTGGCTCTCAGGCACTCCTTGCAGTCTCAGGGAGCACAGACTCTGATGGGGAAGTCTACAGTGAATGTAAGTTCATGGTGATATATTTGTGTCATTAAAAGTAATTCACTCTTTCATTCCATGCCACACCAGTCTACTCAGACTGAGAAAAGGCACACGTAGACACTGCATTCTCTAATCTAGCTCAGTGTTAACTTCAGTAGCCTTAAGAAAACCAATTGGTTGCCCTAACATGTCCTACAAGAACAGAGGCTTGCACTAGGAAGTCATCCCAGCTAGATGACTTTAAATGGTTGCTGAAAAAAATCATTTATATGTCAGTTACTAAGTGTAATAAAATCTCTCTTGAAGTTTTGTTCTGATCATATGGGGATATTAGCACAGATCAATTCCTGAAAGATGTCTCAAAAATTCCATGTCATTGTGGCTTAATTTAATGGGTATTTGAGCTAGTTTACTTCTTCCTTTTATGAATAGTTTTGGGTTTTTTTTTTCTGAAAGTTGATCTTTAAAAAAACTACATAGTTTTCTATAAGGTGTTACAGCTATTTTCACACACAGAACAGAATGAAGTGCAAATTTTGAGGGTGTTAATTTTCATAGACATACCTGTTGTTGAAAAAACGATATAGCCATTTTCTCTGTTAAAAAGATAACTTTTGTCATAGGAATCATGTTGATCAGAGTCTGGGGAGCTGAAAGGAGAGCAATAGCAATGTGTTGTCTTCTAGATATTGTTACTCTGATCTGAACATTTATTCTCTTTAATGGTTCATAATCCTATTCATGTTTTCATTTGAGTTGCTTATTTCCTACTTTTTGTGTAATTGTTTTCTATTTTTGTTCTTTGTCTTCTTTCACACTGGTTAACAAAAGAAAAGGAGAAGAGAAATAACTGGTCATTCAGGCATTTTTCAAAAATGGGAATTGGGGAAGTTAGCTTTACATTATATTGTGAGAAACTTGTAAAATATAAGGGAAACATAAGACAGTATACATCTGCCACATTACAGATAAAGCTTTACTACTAAACTTAGTAATAGGTTCTCAAGGCTGAATCTTGAAATTAATGGAAAATATTTTATTTTCTTCTAAAATTTCATTGTCTTACAACTTGTATCATTGTATTGCTTAAGTAATTAAAATATAATATGTGTGATGGATGTGTGTCTGCTTGTTTTGCTGGGGAATTGCTCATTTCTTCACTGCTCTAATTCTTTTCTTTTCCTTTCCATGCTACAATGTTGTCATATGGCTGGTGAGTGGCTTTTTCTCACATTCAGAATAGTGTACAATGATATGTTCTCCTTTTTACATGGTAGATGACTCTATTACAGTGTTCCAAGAACTGAAGGACCTTCTAAAGAAGAATGCCACTGTGGAATCATTTATTGAGTGGTTGGATACTGTGGTTGAGCAAAGGGTTATCAAGGTACCTTTCAAATGTTCTGCCTGACTCAAGACCATATCCTACTACCCTTACTCCTTACACAGTCCCTTACTTGTACAGTCCCATTGGTTTCCCACATGGGATTCTCATCTCTGCTCCCATCTCCTTATTGTAACACGGGAGTTCTTCATTTGGTGTGAAAGGTTCCAGTGTCGTTAGTTCTAATTAATCATGTTGAGTGCTGTTGAACAGTCTTATGTGTATGACAAACTAAGAAATATCTTAACTAAAACATTAAAGTCAGCACTGTCATAAACTGTACATGAAAGAAACCAACCCACCTTATCTGTGCAAGCAGAATCACAGGGGTATTGCCCAGTGAGCAAGGTGAACAAAAATTTTTCCTTAGAGAAGCAGTTCTTTCTTTCATGGTATTCAGATGGTACTGTATGTGGTATAAGTTAATGTAGCAGATGGATTCAGAAGTAGCTAACCTGTAGAAGGATTTCTAGAAACCAGGATGAAAGATATGGTTTTGTAGCTCTACAAGGTGCTTAGCTCAGTAATTGATGGTTTTGATGGGCTTCCCTGCCTCTCCTCCCCCAATTTACAAGATGCTTTATAATTGTAAGTATTACATGCATGTAGTTATACAGGAATGATTACACCATAGTTCAGAACAAAATAATTGAGTTCTGAGTTATAGCTCAAGTAAGAGATACTTACGCAATTTGTGACCCGAATGAATGTAAACTAGCAGAATAAAATGTTACGCATTGCTTGCTAGTAGCTAAACACTGGTCTTCTCATCAGGTCATGTTCTATCTGGAAGTGCAGTCTCTTATCCATCATTTTAGGGAGCATCTTGATACGAATGGATGCAAGAGGAGGAGACACTGCAGTTAGCTTTGACTGCCTTGCGGAAGAGTGACTGCCACTTACAGAATTACGATGGGCATGTCATTTTTCCTTCCTTCACCTGTTTTCCCAAATTTGAATGGAGACAGTGATAATTTATTTCTTTTTAAAGCACTTTGAGTTTCCTAACAGCCCCTGTCATATGTGAGCAGCACAGTGAGGATCTTTGGATGATTCAGGGCAACAGAGCCGAGGCAAGTCCTCATATACACTTACCTAGACACAAAACTCAGAGTGAAGCTGAGCAATAACAACTTGTTTTAGAACTGAATGATTATGGCCTAAAATTGATTCCACAATCTCAGAAGACAATTCCTGATAAACAAGCCAGGCAGAAAAGGTGAAGCACTCTCCCATTCAGCATCTGCTATGTGATATTGTAGTATTAATGTTAACAGGTATGGTTCCTAGCATTGTTTTCCTGTAGTCAGAGGTAAGAAATACCTACAAGTCCTGATATGCAGCTAGGTCAACTAAGCAGAAGCTAATAATTTACAGATGTAATCCTTCCATTGCTCTCTGCCTTTCATTCATGCTAAAGTGTGGTTACTGTCAAACTCACACAACAGCTTCTTTCTGCTTGCTGTTTGAGAAAGCAACAGGGCATACGTTACCACATGAACAAATCACTGCCAGAGCAAAGTGACAGTATGAAATGAGTAGCATTATAAGTGTCAATGTTACGATAGTAAACATGCCATTTTGTAAGAGAAAGTCTGGCCAGTATTATACAGATTACATTGAAGTACAAAAACTGATTTCTGTTCCCTGTTTATGTGGAATAACAGTGCCAGAGGGTGGGTTTTTTCCTTTCTGCCTTGTACACCTGTATATTTACAGAATAATTTGGCACCCAATAATACTAGAATATGAGTAAATATATATACCTTTAGGGCACAGCAGAGCTCAAGTAATAAGCAGTTTGCTTTATCTAGCATTGTAAGAGCTCTAGTCTGATTGCACTGAGAAGAGTGAATGCTGCTCTTCTTTATCACTTTGGGACACACATTGTGAAGAGAGATTGAATCAGGCAGCTTGATCCACCCTACCACATCAGCCTGAGTCAAGGACTCCTTGAACTCTTCAGCATATTCAGTTCTCCTTTCTTTTCTCCTGTGTGCAGAAAGCAAGTTAGCGTACTCAACAGGATTTTACTATTCTCTTTCAGGCAAGCAAGCAAAATGGGAGGTCATTAAAGAAGAGAGCTCAGGACTTCCTTCTCAAATGGAGCTTTTTCGGTGCTCGAGTGATGCATAACCTAACTCTAAACAATGCATCAAGTTTTGGTACGTGAGCTTTGTAAAAACACTCATATTTTGTACATATGTGCCAGCACTTGCCAGCTTTCCACTGTTTCCTCAGCAGAGGAACCTGTCCCCTTCTAAACCTTCTTTGATGAAAGCCACAAATGCAGTGTAACTTGTTTTTCAAACTGACATTTCACAGTAAATGCTAGCAAGATTTTGTTGGTGACCTGTGTCACATGTTCATTTTTCAAAGGTATTTTTCTTTGGAATTGTTTGGTACTGCTTTGTCATTGAAGAGCTAGAAGCAGTGTTTGTTTTGCTATGTCAATGGAAGTGTAACTGCATATCTCAGTATAGGAGACAGAAGATTTAAATTATTAGTTTTACATGTGGATCAGTTTGGTAAAAAATTACTGCTGTATAGAAGTTTTTGTGTATGGTATGTTTTCGTAAAAGCAAAAGGAATTTGGCTGATCACCACTCATTTAATTCTGGGATCAGCAGACAGTCAATTCAACAGTTTTTGTAGCTTTTAAAAATTAGGGTTCACATGTCCATCTTTAGAAATGTTTACATTTTGGGGGACTTTTAGAAAGAACCTTTTATAAAATAGAAGACAGTAGAGCAAGTGAAGCTCACTTTAAATCTAGTACGTAATTTCCTAATTTTAATTGTAGGTACATTATCTACAATTCAGAGGGTATTTGAAATGGCTGTAAGGAGACACATGTTTTTAATGTGATATATCCTTGAAATAAGGTCAAAGACTTCACTAGTTATTGTCTGGTTATTTAGCACAAGGCAAACAGAAGTAGAGCAGAGGCATTCTAGAGACTTCGACCTTATCTAGCTCCACTGTGTGCCCTCTTCAAGTATAAAGCATGTCTCACTTTCATCAGTATTTTTCTTTGATGTAATTAGTGGTCAAATAGCCTACAGGACAGTAAACAATTGAGCTAGGTGGGCCAGTGCAAAGAGAGATTAGAGCTAGAAGTTAGGCACTATTCCTTGTTGGTCTTGCCAGGTCATTTAAAGTCCACAATTATTTGTTTGTTTCACTGGCTTCTTGTAGAGTGGTGAGAGATGGTCACAAAGATAACTCAGCTACTCTCTCTCTTTCTCCTCCGAAAGGTTCTTTTCATTTGATCCGCATGCTACTAGATGAGTACATCCTGCTTGCCATGGAGACACAGTTCAACAATGACAAAGAACAAGAACTCCAGAATCTACTGGACAAATACATGAAGAATTTAGGTAACTAGAGCTTGGTTCTTTTGAATGTAGTACTGTATTTTTAGAAATTGACATATTTATTTAAATAGAGGCAGGCTTACTGTCTTCTCCTGGAGAAGGTGTAGTTATATGCAACATTGTCACATTCACCTGAAAAGCTTGTGACCATTCACTCAGCAATTCATTTTCATTCTCACCTATGGTTCGATGTTACCTTCAATGGTAACATCGAACCATAGTTCACTTAATAATATTTTGTGGGAATGTGAATACACTGGATCACTAAAATGATCTTGGATGCTGCAGACATTTCTGACGGGCCACAAGATAAAGTGTGAACAGAGATATTAAGTAGCAGAAAGGGCAGGAATTCCTAATCCAGTTTTCCTACCAAAGTTTAAATATGTAATTACACCTTGAACTAGGAATGTATTAAATGTTTACCAAAACGCAAATATCCCTGCAAGGTTGGAACATAAGTTTGGAGCCCTATTTAGCATCTGGCTGAAGTATTACTATGTGGAAGAGAAAAAAAAATTAATTTAAAACAGTATCCTTAACATTTTCCATCTACCAGGCTTCTTCAAGGCTAGGCAGTTTGAAGTCATATGCTCCAGGCCCTTTGCTATAAAATGAATGAAGATTAATTTGGATCAAATTCTCTTCCAAGTTAATCACTAAGAATCCAATGAAACTTGACTGGGTTCTGCTGAATTATTTGTTATTAACATTAGAACCAGTGATTAATCTTTAACTTTTTGGTTGTTGTTATTCTAAATCTGCACCTTGCTGCAAGACACTTGTATAGAATTTGTCTGACAGTAGATGCTGTGCTTTTTCTTTTAATTCAGCCTTCAGGAAAAATCTTGTCCTATGTAGCAGTTCCCTTATCATTGGATACTTAAGTACTTGAAACCATAAGGTAAAGTCATGGTTTCCACTGAAGAACAGCAAAACTTCCACTGACTTTATCAATAGTCTGCAGAAAACTGAAGAACTATTGGGTGTAACAAATGGTTTTCTCTAGATATCAGTATGAAAAGCATTCTAAATTCTTTAGGACGAAGTGTCATGAGCCTGATTCACTCTCAGTGCAATTTACTTGACTTCATTGCTGACATTTACTTCAAGGGAATAAATCTGGTTCATACCTTCACTATGGTGGCTTCAGTAAGGATCTGATACTCTGTGATGTAGATCTGTGGTCAGGGAATATGATACAAACAGTTCCACTGGGAAGATCAAGACTAGAGCAATATTTGTATTCATTGACTACATGCAAAAAATGGAGGCTTCACTGGGTTTTAAAATAAGCAACCAAAGATATGAACAAATCAGGCAGCTCATGTGCTGTCTATATACTAGTGGTGAACTTACGTGCAATAAGCATACATAACAGCCACCAAGAGTTTTCACTTACTCTTCCAGACGCAAGCAAAGCCACCTTTACTGCATCACCAAGCTCTTGCTTCCTAGCAAATCGTAACAAAGCTGCTCCTCTGCCCAGCGACACTTCAGTGAAAAATGAGTGTCTAGCAGAGCAAACCTACGTGTCCTTGTCAGCTAGCCAGCCCAGCAGTGTGCCTTCTGGTCTGAACGCCTTCACCACAGGAGACAGTGAGAATATGCAGCTGACAGGTATGGATCAGTTCTTCTAGTTTCTCCTCCTCTCATTTGTTTGTTAGTCTTTCAGTGCACAATAACATATTGCGGTAGGAGGAGCAATGACCATATGCATTTATAAAGACCTCTAGTAAATAACTTGTCATGAGCTCACCATCTCTGCTGATTTACAGAAGGTGGCAATTGTAGAGCCCTGTCAGTAACAGATCCTCTTGGAACAATGGTAAAACTATCCTATACCTCTTGGCTTGGTGAGGTTCTTGTGAGGAGATAATGAACAGTAACACTTGGAGCACAGGAGGCTTGTAACTGCTGCAATTTCCCACTGCATGTAGCAGCCTCCGAGATGGAGAATGAAAGTGGGAAGATTTATAGCCTGAAGCCATGAATTAAAGAACATGTGTTGTATAGGTGGGGAACAACGCATATGCTTTGTAAAGGTTTCAAATGGTAAGGTACACTTCACTAGAGGGTTAGCATCCTAGCAAATCTGCTCCATTCAGCAGTGCTGAAGTATGAACGCTAATCACAGCTAATGCTTATTATTCCAGGTCAGATGGAGCTGTCTCAAAGCACTGGTCACCTGATGACTCCACCCATTTCACCAGCCATGGTCAGCCGAGGAAGTGTTATCAACCAGGGGCCAATGGCTGTGAGACCTCCAAGTGTAGGTCCAGTGTTATCTGCACATTCACAGTGCTCTTCCTACTCAGAACCCATTTATCAGACTTTGTCACAAACTAATCAGAATTACTATGGAAACAATTCCAATTACCAGGCTATGTTCAGAACTCAGGCCCATTCCACTTCAGGAGTTTACCACCACAGAGCAGAGCACAGCCGATTCAATGCCTTGAGTGAACAGCAGTTCTCCAGAGACTACTTCAGCAACAGTTGTGCTGTGTCTCCATACAATGCCCGATCCCCTTCCAGCTATGGTCCCTCATCAATGTCTCAGGACACACACAATATGCAGTTTCTGAATACTGGGAGTTTCAATTTCTTGAGCAACTCGGTGACTACGTGCCCAGGAGCAGCATATCCCACTAATGCTTCCAATGGTATTAATATATATTTTCTTTTTCCCTTCTGTTTCTCTTTCTTTGCTGGAGTAAAACACTTTTTCTCTGCTTTTTTTTCTATGGAATATGTTTTTCAGCTCTTATTTATACCTTCCTGTTTTCCACTTCTCTGATGACACACAGAGATTGTAAAGCAGTTTAATAAGCTACTTAAGGATTTATTTTCCTCTGGTGAATCCTCAGTTGACCTCAACAAATACATCTGCTGCACCTATGTTAATCTTCCTTTGGCACCATTGTGATGTCTTGCACAAAGGAAGCAAAACCAGGATGACCTTGTGATTTAACCATCTCTTGAAAGGCCCCCAAAACACCTACTGTGAAATAGAGCAGGCATAAGATAGCTTACCTGTGGGATCAGCATAATATATTATAGTCACAGGGTCAGGATGGTGAAATGAAGTATAAAAATGTGCATTAGCATCAGTTTGAGACTTCGGCCCTAATATTTCTCATACTTCAAATGTAAAGTTATTGTCACAATCTGCTTTGGAGTGATAGTCAACAAAAACTTCCCTCTTCTGGAGGAAAGACGCAGTGGAAACGTTGCTGTTATATGGATTTGTACATGGGGTAAGTATGTATTACCATGGATATTTTCTTTCCAGGTATACTTTCCTTGGTTGTGAGCTTCAGAAGGGAGCACTGGACTGTGGATAGGAGTCCCCATGGTGACTCTTAGGAACACTGATTGCAGGCTACTGTGTGATTCTGAACTTAGAATGGAAGGGCAGTTCTGTACTGAAGGCATGACTGAACTCTTCAGATCTTTTTGCTCCCTTGTTACCACCCCTCTTTTGGATCGGTCATTGCATATGTTACTGAGGTTACTAGGCTGTATGTGTACATAAATAATCTTATTCTCAAGGGACTCAGCCAGTAGCAATTGCCTTTTGTCCCAGGTTATCACAGGCTCCTACCCTACCCTTTCTCTTCAACAGTAGTTTCACTCTGCTTTTTTCCAATCTCCTGTCAATAGGATATTATGGAAACAATATAAATTATCCAGAATCTCACAGACTTGGAACAATGGTGGATCAACATGTTTCTGTAATCAGCAGTGTAAGCAGCATTCGATCACTGCCATCATACAATGATATACATGATCCACTGAATATCTTGGATGACAGCGGAAGAAAACAAACAGGCTCATACTACACAGAGTCCTCACCTTCAATTGTCTGTCGGACTCCTATGTGTAAGTATAGCCAACGACTGATGAAGAGCCATGAACTTTTTAGAATCCTAACAAGTGCTGAGTATTAAACTGTAACTCATGTATATTTTATATGAGATGCAATATAGAGATAAAATAACTCTGTACCTAGGATGTATCATAAGATGTGTTTTCCTTAAAATTGCAGGGCAGTGAATTTAATAACCCTTCACTCCCATAAGGAGGACTATGATCCATTGTCCGTGAGGAGTGAATGACTGACTTGAATTGCAGAAAAATCCGTATTAGGAAACACTTCCTAACTATTAAGTGAGCTAATAACAGACTGGGCTCTTCTAAAGGCTCTTAAGGATCCTCAGTGTCAAACAGAACAAATGAACCCTGGGTCAGGGATGTCTAGATATATACTTGCTGTGGTATAGACCCTTCCTGTCCTGTGCTTCAACAACTGCGTGTATTAGGCAAAGCTCCTACTGACGGTGAATTTTAGGTGAAATTACCTAGCCCCAAAACATTAAACAAATGGCAGCTGAGTTTGGTCCTACATTCCAAAAAGGGTTGGATGGAACCAGGGCACTGTTTGTTTCTTCACAAGATTACCTCTTTCTTCTACTTACCTATTAACCTTGCACAGAAGATCAGACATTACTTGCCTCATTAAGGCTCTGCAAGAATTCAATGCTCAGTTCTTTAAAGGATGCTAACAAGGGGGAAAAAAACCCAGCACTGCCACACAGGGACTGTGCCCATCAAGTATCTTCTGTATTCTATGTTGATATGTGCCAGGTGGCAGCAGTGGTACCACCAGTGAATATGGACCTGATATGGTGCAAGATATGGAAAGACGAGCGTAGTGCACATAAATAGCTTTGCATAATTTTCATAGCAGATGTTTCACACGCAAGCCATAAACTTCAGGCCCATAGCTGGATTTTTAGCAGAGTTCACTTATACATGGGTTTTGACCTGTTTCCTGATGGCATGAGGAACCACTGAAGAAAAGTTTAGAACTATAAGTAAATTGAGTGAAGTGTAGAAATTAAGTGAAGTATAGAAGTGTTGACATTTCGGTCCTTCAGATGGTGTGCCTGGTAGATAAGGGTTTCCATCAGATGAAATTGGATTGTGTTTTTTGTGAAATTCAATAGATATAGAAAACTGGCAATGATGGTAACCTTTTATTCCCACAGCTTCAAACATGCAAACCACATCTTCTTCCCAGTGTATGTATGGAACATCTGGTCAGTTCCCTTCTCAGGAAAATCTGGAGTCCCATGGCCCACCAAGCAGAGATATGGTGTCATCTTTACCACCAATCAACACTGTCTTCATGGGAGCAGCTGCTGGAGGAACCTGAACTGGGAGAGACATGTCAGTGCCTTAAGCTTACTTTCCAAATCCAGACATTAAGGCTATGATGACAATCCCCTTCAAGTTGGTGGAATAGAAAAGTATTATATATAGGTGTTAAAGGAGCCATTTTAGAGATATTAGCAGCCCTCCACACACAAAAAATAGTTATATTCAGATTGGGTCCTGCTTGTGAGTCTTTCAGAATTGCTCTCACCATTACGGCTTTTCAGGCAGAACTTCAGGGTGAGCAGAAAGAGCCAGTGGTTCTTGCAAGCAAGACTAAGTTGTAAAGAAATGATTACATCTATTCCTAATTTATTAAAAATGCTATTTTAGTCTTTCTCTTATATCTTTTTGTATAAAAATGTTTATTTAATATCTGTGTTGCTCATTATTTATTAGGATCACAGAGATATTGTTTACTTTCTTTTATTTGACAGATTGTCAAATGTATGTATCCTACCTCCTATGGAAATGTTTACAAGGTCAATTTTTACTGTTTTAAATGAAACTAAGCCAAATTCTTAAGTTTTTTACTGTTGTGCTCTGGAAAGTCAATTTCAAATGTTTAGTGCCTACTTGTGTAAGTGGAAGTCCTCAGGAAATAAATAAAACATATCATGGGGATTTTTTTTCTTTTAAAATAAACCACTTTCTCTTAAAATAAACCCAACAAAACGTAAAAATATTATAAACTAAATAATTGCAGTGGCCTGCTACTGTAGCTGGATAACTGAAACAAATGAAACTGTGCCACAAAATGTCAAGGGATTTCAAAATTACTTGTGGTATAAGCCCAAAATTCCTACTGGTGGAAATCCACAAAAATAGATGTCCATCAACTTTCATGGGCTTTAGGGCAACTGTGTACATTGAGACCAAAAGTAGTAAAGTTGATGAAAAATATTGCAAGCCTCCAGACCAACTATTATAATAAACCATTATTTTACAAGTGCCATGAGATTCGGTATGCAAACATGCATTTATGTATGTTTCTGGAGAAACCAGGTGAAGAATATTCACCAGTGGTATTAAAGAGGGTGGAGATGAGAACACACAAAACAAACTTCTTGTTACACTTTCATGAAAGAACAGATGTTATTTTATAAACAGATTGTCCCACCATCAGATTCAAATTTAGATTTTAATCCAGTCTTCTGAATTGTTTGAGGCTATTTCATATTTCCATTCAGTCCATTAAATATATGCTGGATATTGTGGATTAGATAGCAGGGTATTTTTGGTGGAAGAAAATGGGTGATACCATGATGAAGTTTGTATTTTTAATCCTGTATAACTTACTTTAGTGTTTCCTATCATGAGAAGTCTGACTGCAGCAGAAAAGTAATAAGGAGCATTAACTGGGCGAGCTCACGAATAATTCCTGATATGAAATACTTTATGCAGTAATGAAACACCATACTTCAGTAATTGAGATGTAGAAGACTCCAGCTCAATTGCTTCCTAATTCAGGGTGAAGTCTTACATTGCGACCAAAGTTTTGGTTTCAGCAAAAATTCCCAATGACATGTAGTGGTAATACAGGCTGCTCAAACAAGTATTTATGGGGCAATGCTTTACATCAAGTAAAGTACTGCAAAGGAGTTCTTTCTTCATGATTATTCACAACAGCATATACTTTCCCCTTAAATTACTCCTATAAAAGTCAAGTTCCCTATCTAAGCCAGTCACCTCTATAGTCAGTGAAGAGACATAAATCCCTCCCATTCGAAGTGAGTCAAGATGGGGAAGGGGAGTACGATGGTAAGGGTTATGTCACTATTGGAAGGGATACGTCACTATCCTGAAATGCTTTACTCCCCCTACTGACACATGGCATAAATAATTACTTTGAGCTGGAAACTTTCAGATTATTGAATTTATGTGAGAGTAATGTGTAGTACTTAGAGGAAGTAGGCAGCCACTAGCAGAAAGGATATTAGTCCATCGGGCTCTACATAAAAAGCACAGCTTGTGGTACATAGTGACTCGTGCTTTGTATGCATCATTTCCAGTAATTTTCTTTTTTTTATGATGTGAACCGTTTTGCATTATGGGTTTTTTGGGGGGCATAAAGTACTTTATCTGCACTTTAACTGAGATAAGAAACTATTATATCATTAAATGTAGTGATTCTCATGATGGCTGCAAAACAGAGTAGTATGAAGTATCACAGGATTGTAAATTGCAGCTCATTATCAACAGCAAAGAGCAGTAAAAAATATTCTAGTATTCAAATAGCCAGTTAAGAGAAATCTCTCATAGTGTTTAAGAACAAAGCAAACCCATAATAATTGTAACTAGCAAAACTAGCATATGAAATTTCCATTTTATGACCCTTAGTTCAGTCAAATATATGGTTTGATGAATTCAGTAAGTTCTGTCTGTGGGAAATGAAATAATTCCTAGCTTTTCTGGATACCCCATGGGAAGATTTTTACCTTTGGTAGTATAGCAGCATTACAGTAAATAATATGAAGAATCAATGGAGTTGCCACTTGGTGGTCTTGTATTACTCAGTTCAGTTGCACTTTTGTGGATGCATTAATATGTTGGTTTTAATATATACATGCCAGAAAATCTGTGATAAAAAATTGTATTGAGTACAATCAGTATCAAAGGAATATTGCCTAAAGAGGAGGCGGGGGAAAGTGCTTTGCTTTCTGGGAAGGAAAGATGAAAATGAAATCGTTTTGATCTATTTGCCAGTACCAGTGAATTTGAACTAGTGCTAGAAAAGGCAAAAGAGAGGTGGATGAACAGGTCAAATCTGCTGCCACTTCTAAAGTAAAACTGATTCTAATGCAAACTATATCAACCAAGAAGAATCAATATTGGAGAAGAACAGATTCCCTTGTGTGCCATTGTCCTGTGCCTAGCAAACAATGGGGAAAATTACAGAATTCGTGCTGGAAGAGAAGCACAGTTCTACTTTGAAGGCGATTAGGACCATTGCTCCAGACTAAAAATTAGGAACAGAAAGTTTGCCTTCACTTTTAAATGTGTAGTGAAAACACAGTGAAATTACTTCTAAAAAGTAAACTCATGTCTCATACTGTCATCCCACAATCCAAATGCATCTTACTGGTCGGATCAGCATCCTGCCAGCTATCTCTGTCAAGTACGTCAGTGGTCAGTGGTCACAGAGAGGAAGGGGAGTTGCAGTGCAGCAGGCAGGGATGAGCCATTCAGCAGAACCTTATATTTAAGACAATTAGAAGAACACAGATATGCTGGAATGGCAACAGATGCTTCATATGACAGTGCAGTGCTGTTTCCCTCAGTGTGGGATCAAAACTGAGTGGACTTCAGGCTTATGGACCAAGTGGTCCAAAGAAGAAACAACTACAAAAACACCCACTCATAGAGAACTTAAAACTGTAGAGATGTTATCACTCTTAGAAGAGTAGATATTTGACACTAAAGGAACTAAATCTCTTAGGAACAGGATCAAAGATCAGGCAGAAAAATGCTAGAATCTGTTGAAGTAAGAGTACAGGCCATTGATGTCATTGCTCTGGACAAAGTTGTACTCCTACAGGCCAGGATACCCACAGCACCCAATACTACTGTGCTAAAATAAAAGGTGCCATCAAGCTAAACTTTAAATTGTTGCGACTGCTAGTGATTAGATCTAGGTATTGCAAGAGGCCTTACCTGGTTTTGATAACTGGGAAGAGATAGATTAGACTTGGTTTTGGGGCCCATATGCCCCAGGTTGTAAGTAACAGCCTTTTATACTGATGTTTTGGGCTATGGTCTAATTTGAATCATTAAACTAGCTGTAGGGATTGGATTACATTTGATATTAGCTTTGGGGATGGATTCTGGATAAGGGTGAGCTGGTTGGTATGACTGTTACAAATGAGGATGTACAAAACTATACTAAATTGCCAGTCTGAAACAGGTCACAGATCTAGTTTTTACGATGAACTCTGTAGGACTTGGGAATAGCTATAACCGGGCTTACAGGCTTGGATTCAGGCTAGTATGTTGGATGAACCTGCATCATGTCTGATCTTGGCTTATGGCTCTTGCCAGTTGGGCCCACATGGTATGCTTAATTTAACATAGTTAATTTAGGGAAATTTGCTGCTTTCTTCTTAGGGATGTACTCAGAGTGGAGCTTAAATTGGAGTTAGCTTTGGCAGTAGCGTTAACTTCAGGGGTTGGGTCAACATTAACCTGGACCATGAGTCAATATTGGGTTTAGAAGTGGCCATCAAGCTCAGCTTAATGCTGCTGCTTAGAGGAACCCACAAACTATGCTTAGTTCTAGGTAAAACAGAATGTAGGGAGACCAATATAGATTAATATTATAGTCAGAATTATAATTAAGATTTACTTGGGCAGGAACTGGTGAAAGTGGATTGTTTCTGCATTTAGCAGGGGTTGTTGAGCTTGTATGAAGCCTACTGCCAGACCAGGTTATGATTCCTTCAAGGTCTAGTCTTAACAGCAGACTCAAAGCTGATTTGAAATTTATATTTGGAAATGAAAGAAGATAAGCCATTTAGGTTATACCCAGGTCTAGAAGAAACTGAGACTAATTTGAGGTTTTAGATAATGGAGACCACATTGTCAATCATACTTATGAGGCTGGCACTGAGGAATTTAAAGTCATGGTTGGGGTTTAGGCCAACATGAAGCAATGAATCTGAACTAATTATGGATTTAAGACCTGCAAGGATCTATGCTTATTATTGAAATTAGTAAGAGTCACTGACATAGTCATTAGCTTCAGCTAAAAGTTGGAATAAAAGTATAGGACTAAGTTGGAATAAAAGGCTAGGACTAGGTCATTAATTGTGTGAGCCAGGATCAGTGCACGTCTAAGTAGTCATTAGCTGAAACCTCTCTGCTGGAAGAGATGCATCTTTCAAAGCCTAAGATGAGAATGATATCCTTAATGAAGGACTGTAGGTATCTGTAGCCTCTAGAGAGGTTCTGTGTCATTGCTAATGATGAGACCTCAAGTAATCAACATTACTGGGATGATGAAAG